CCGCATTATGGGTGTTACAACTGCACAGAAGAATTATGTCCTTGATGCACCTCTAGGTGACGGACCTTTTGCAGGAGCGAATGCAGACGTTATGATCATTTGACAAGCTCGATATGATGACCACTTGATAGTTTAGTGCGCCATTCTTTACAGCTTAGAACCAGAACTTCAAAAACATTTTGAATGCCAAGGAGCATATGAGTTGTTCCAAGAGCTGAAATTGGTATTTCAGACTCATGCCCGTGTTAAGAGGTATGATACCTCTGACAAGTACTTTGCCTACAAGATGGAGGAGAATAGCTTAGCTAGTGAGCATGTTCTCAGAATGTGTGAGTACTACAATCACTTGAATCAAGTGGGAGTTAATCTTCCAGATAAGATAGTGATTGATAGATTTCTCTAGTCACTATCACCAAGTTACTAGAACTTCATGATGAACTATAATAGGCAAGGGATAACGGAAAGGATTCCCAAGCTCCTCGCGATGCTGAAATTGGTGAAGGTAGAAATCAAGAAAAATCATCAAGTGTTGATGGTTGACAAGACCATTAGTTTCAAGTAAAAGGGCAAGGCAAAGAAAGGGTGTCGGTGTCAAAACTGGCGGATCTCGAGTATGGGGTCCCGAACTGTGCATCTAGGTGGATGGTAACAGGAGACGTGGGACACGATGTTTTTACCCAGGTTCGGGCCCTCTCGATGGAGGTAAAACCCTACGCCTGCTTGATTGATCTTGATGATATGAGTATTACAGGAGTTGATCTAGCACGAGATCGAAGAGGCTAAACTCTAGAAGCTAGCCTATGGTATGATTGTTGTTGTTGGTCCTACTGACTAAACCCTCCGGTTTATATAGACACCGGAGGGGGCTAGGGTTACACAGAGTCGGTTACAAGGAAGGAGATCTACATATCCGTATTGCCAAGCTTGCCTTCCACGCCAAGGAGAGTCCCATCCGGACACGGGATGAAGTCTTCAATCTTGTATCTTCATAGTCCAACAGTCCGGCCAAAGGATATAATCCGGCTGTCCGGATACCCCCTAATCCAGGACTCCCTCAGTAGCCCCTGAACCAGGCTTCAATGACGATGAGTCCTGTGCGCAGATTATCTTCGGCATTGCAAGGTGGGTTCCTCCTCCGAATACTTCATAGAAGATTTTGAACACGAGGATCGTGTCCGGCTCTGCAAAACAAGTTCCACATACAACCGTAGAGAGAATAATATTTTCACAAATCTAATCTGCCGACGCATTCCGCAGTGTGACATCACACTACAGCCAAGTCACCATTTGAATCGTTTTTCACAACCAACCTCAGCGTGTTTCGCGAGGCGGTTTCCTTGGCATGTCTTGTCCAAGCAGAGATCATGTCCCCTTATTATGGGATTCCCATCAATACGGACGTGGGTAACCCAACCACGCCATCAATTATGGCGCTTGGGGGATAAGCGAGTTTTACCAGGCTGGTGGGGGCGCATAGTTTCGTCCGCCCTTATAAAGGGATAAGGGTTCACCTTTTTCTACCCACGCCTTCTTCCTCCTTGCTCATCCATTCTCGTGCACTCGAGCTCCAGTGCCCAAGTCCACATCCTTCTCCTCAACCCTCTCCAAACATGTCCGGAGCGGGAGGCAAGTGAATGGTCTCCTCCGTTATGGAGGGAGACATCAAAAAGCTGCGTGGGGCCGGATACTTAGCCACGGATATTGCGCACCGGCTGCGAGCCGCGGGGCAGATCGTCCCTACCCCGGAACCTTACGAAAGGGTGGTTTTCCTCACCCACTTCGTCCGCGGACTGGGGTTTCCCCTCCATCCATTCGTCCGCGGCCTTATGTTCTGTTATGGGCTGGACTTCCATGATCTAGCTCCAAATTTCATTCTCAACATCTCGGCGTTCGTCGTCGTGTGCGAGGCTTTCCTCCGCGTCGGGCCCCACTTCGGCATGTGGCTGAAGACCTTCAATGTCAAACCGAAGGTAGTAGGCGGCCAACAAGCGGAATGCGGCGGAGCCATGGTGGGCAAAATGCCCAACGTTACATGGCTCGAGGGCTCCTTCGTGGAGACCATAAAGGGGTGGCAATTGGGGTGGTTCTACATCACCGAGCCGCGCGACACCAACTGGGTGGCGGCCCCCGAGTTTCGATCCGGAATCCCCACGCGGCTCACTTCCTGGAAGGAGAAGGGCCTGTCCTGGGGCTCATCGGTGGAGCTAGACGGACTCCAGAAGTGTATCTGGAACATGATAGGCAAGAAACTCAAACTTGTCAACATAGTCCAGGTCATGCTCTTCCGCCGGATCCTCCCGTGTCAACAACGGGCTTTCAACTTATGGGAGTTCGACCCGGCCCAGCACCAGACTCTACGCGAGCTCTTCGACACGACGCATAAGGACGTCTGGAAGGTGCTGTTCAAGGGCGCCGAGGTCCCCCCTCCCCTTATCGAGGACCGCGGGCTAAGCGTGACGCGCCCTGCGAATCCGGTAAGTTCTGTACACCTTGTAGGGTATTTATTTTCCATAGTTTAACCATGTGCGGGGTCTGAGCTCCCATGCCTTTGACAGGACTGGGTGGAGACATCGGAGCAGATTGACTGTCCAGCCCCTCTGCCCGAAGACCCTGCAGACGCTCTCCTGACAGAGATGCGGACTCCGGCTCCTTATGAGGTGCCGGAGAAGAAGATCAAGAAGAAGGCCACGGGAACCCGAAAGAGTTCCCGGCGCCAGGTGGTATCGGACTCATCGTCCGATAACTCCGAGACGCACTCCTCCCGTGAAAACGAGGAGGAGGAAGATGACGGTTCTCCCTCTCCAACCGGGGGAGACAGGAAAAGGAAGGCCGCCCCAACCGGGGAGGCCGGAGGGTCCAAGAAGGGAAGGACTCTCCTTCTGGACTGTTCCACCACCGCCGCCGACAGCGAAGACGAGTGGTTACTCAGGGCCAAGCCCCTGGCGAAGTCGTAAGTATTCGGATACTAGAGTAACTCATAGTATACTTTTATTGCACTACTTCTCCTAACGTTGAATATGATCATGCAGTCTGCCCCGAGCCCGCATCGACGTATCCTCGTCAGACGGTTCCTTGGACTCGTCGGATATGAATAGCGAGTCACTTCCAACCGCCTCCTCTCCTCGCCCTATGGACAATGTCGAGGTATTGTCTCAAGGGGCACCGAACCGAGGGGAGATACTCCTGGAGGCGCCTCAAGGCGACTTTCCGGACTCCAGGCGTAAAGGGAGCAAGACTCCCAAGGGCTCCAAGTACGGCCCTCAGCCGAACACCGCGCTGGAACCTCCAGTGGTTTCGGACTCCGGCAGGCGGCCCCCTGCCAAGAGGGGCAAGCCACCTGTGCCGGTGACCTCTGTCTATCCAGAGGCACCAAACAACCTGCTGGGAGCGCTTCGCGACGCTTCCATCGACGAAGAGCACCGCACTATTATGAGTGCGGTGATCAAGAAGGTTCAGTCCGCCAAGAACAGACTGACTGAAGCCTGTGCCAGCCTTCTAGCAGGCTTTGAGGTAAGTATTTAAAATATAGGAAAATATTACCGCATAGACAGTAGCCCCTGATGCTCTGTTTGGTGTTCACAAAGAAAAGTCAAATAGAGGATCAAATAATATCTGCAGGAGTCTAATACAAGTATGTCTATATGCATACCGCATAGACAGTAGCCCCTGATACTCTGTTTGGTGTTCACAAAGAAAAGCCAAATAGAGGATCAAATAATATCTGCAGGAGTCTAATACAAGTATGTCTATATGCATATGCAGGCTTCGCTGCTGACCTCTGCTGCACTAACAGCGGAGGTCGCCGCACTGAAGCAGAACCTCGAGCGGTCTGAGAAAGAACTCGGCCTTGCCAAGAAGCAGCATGAGGAGAACAAAGATAAGTAATACATTGTCTATATATATATAGGACAACACTATTCTAATCATTAGAATAGTTATTTGAATCACAGCCAGCCCTATAAGGGCCCGATGAGATGTTCCCAACTAGCCGAACCCGTGCGCCCACGATCCGTTCCCAGACCTGCACCCCCTCGATCCCGTCCCTAATCCCCCACCCCCTCGATCGGCGGCTACCCTCCCCGAATCAGGCCACCACCGTCGCCGCCCTCCCGAATCGCGCCACCACCACCGCCCTGCCCCACGGCGCGCAGCACCCGGCCTCCCAGCGAGCCGCCGCCCTGCCCCCCGGCGCACCGCCTCCGTTCCTCCCACCGCGCTGCCGCCTTGCCCCACGGCGCCGAGCCGCTCCTCCCTCCACCGCCTGATCTCCGCCGCCCACCGGACCTGACAAGAGGCTCCACCCTTGGCCACGGATAGGGGCTGCGGCCTTCTCGGGGCGCCGCCGTGACCTTCCCAAAGGGGCCACCGCGACCTTCCCCAGCTTTGCCCTCCGCTACGGCTGCCGTCGGCGGCCTTCTA